TTTTTTTTTTAGTCGTCTTCCATCGATTGATAAGGAATTCTATTAGCTTTTACTAAAAAAAAAGGAAAACTAAAATTGGTTAAAAATTAAGGCCCGTGGACTTATTTGTCCACGACCACCTTCATTTTACCCACTGTGCACCGCCTCCGACCAGGAATCGAACCGTGGACCTACTGGGTGGTAGTGCTAAATACATTTACATTTATGAAAATGTCAGCGTTAATTCTTCCGAAGGAAATTCCATTTCATCTCATTCGGGGCTGAAAGCAAAGTCTATAACTATGAAACACAACCTAATATTTGCCTAAAACTCCGATCATTGTACCACAGTCCAAAGGGATGCTTTTTAAACATCGTTTTCAGGCTGCCTTTTGGATCGGTAGATACCGGCGATACAATTCTAACAGAGCTTTAGTTTGGATTCGGTTTGATAAGATTTAGGGGAGCGAGCATGTGACCTAGTTAGCCTTAGGTTGGTTGCCCCAATTTCTAGATACTGTCTCAGACATAGTTCATTGACATGCATCTCGGTCTGAAAGACAGCGTTACCATGTTCTGGGTAATATGCCGTGATTATCCTTGCAGCCGTCAGTATATCAAATGTGGCTCTACTTTTGTGGGTTAGGCGATTCGTTGTTCCAGTTGGTTCTGTTGTAGAAAAATCATGAAATTTTTTGTGGAGTGAAATCTCGCCCTCTTGTTCTATGATCCTATGGGTGGAAGGGTTTTGAGCTTCTTGTCTTCCACATTGTCGCTTTAGAAGAGCCTTGCTCTAAACAGTGTGACCTCTTTCTTGATTATAATTTGCATGGGAGGCAGGTAAAGAAGCACCAGGCTAGTCGTTGCAGTTTTATGAGCTTGGCTTGCGTGGACTTCACTTCTGCCTTATTCCACCAGACTCCAGCGTAAGTTAGAATGAGCTTGGAGATGCCATCATACATCCTCCACCTTGCTTGTGTAAGTCTGTTGCCCCAGTTCTGAATGTAGATATTTTCACAAAGAAGGCAGAGTAGTTCGCCTACTACGATGGACCTTAACGCATTAACAAAATCTTTTTTTCTATGGAAGTAAAAGCGCAACACCCTCGAGATAAAAAAAATCTCAAAAATCAACGGTAATTTCTAGAGACTTGAAACTTGCATCTTATTATAATGAACTATAGGGCAATTCATCTAAGTGCTAAGTGTTAAACCTCGTAAACTTACTTAATTTTTTATGGAAATTCGGTTTATTTACGAGGTTTACGCGGTTACGAGGCATTTATATTTTTATACAAACTAAGACAAAATTGGTATGGAAATTATAAATAAATGAAATCGTCAAAACGCCAGCGTATTCATATTTTTGACGCTGACTGTATGCATACATTTCATTTTCATATTGAAGAAAGCTTCTTCTCTACAGCAAGCATGTAGCTATGTACATTTCCCAGTGTGTGCTAGGAATAGTTCTTGCAAAAAACTGACAATTGTATTTTTTCATAGTACATAGGTTCCTTTCCACGGCCAAACTTCGGCATATATTAATTAAGTCAAATACTAAGTATGCTCAATCTTGGTGGTAGAAAAAAGAAAAGACGTTCTTATTTAACATTAACTATACTCAATTAATTTTACACTACCTATTTTAAACTTCGTTAATATGTACATATGTATTTCTTCTTTCGACCTGCTTCATCGTTCATGCCGCAGCTGCTTTTTTTAAATTTCAAACAAATACATATGTACTCGTACTACTTAAGCTTTTTCAAAACCAAATTTCGCATACTCGATTCACAGATTTTCAATTTGCAAGCTTCAGCGTTAAATAACACAGTAAAGGCTGAAATAGACATTCTAGTGTTCAATCGTGTGCCAAAAACCGGCAGCGTTCAAATGATTCACCTGCTACGCCAGCTGGGAAAAGTACATAGTTTCGAAGTTGAGGTCGATCCACAGAATGGTGGCATACGGCACATACTAAGCGAGAATGAAGAAAAGGATTTAATTGAAAATATTGCCGAATCAGAAGATGGTACTGTCTTTGTTAGCCATGTAAATTATTTAAATTTTACCAAGTATGAGAAGCCACGTCCCATTTATGTGAATATGGTGCGAGATCCAGTGGAACGGGTTATTAGTTGGTACTATTACATACGATCACCGTGGATATTTGTGTCCGAAACGTCGAAAAAGCCAACGGGAAATGCCAAATCCCCAATGGGTTAATACCGAGTTCGATCAGTGTGTGTTGCGTGGCGATAAAGTTTGCTCGTACATCGAAGGCTCCACCTTAGAGCGAGTGGGCGATCATCGTCGGCAAACATTATTCTTCTGCGGTCATAATGCACGTAAATGCCTGTGAGTTTAAGCCGGTGGTGTAAAGTGATAGTGTGGGTGGAAAAAAATTTTTAAGACATTTTTTTTTTTGTTCATTCGTTTGCAGGCCATTTAATACAAAATTGCCAATGCAAATTGCTATGCGTACGGTAGAAGAGGATATGCTGTGGTGGGTACATGGGAAGACACCAATGTGACGCTGAGTGTGCTGGAGAATTATATACCATCTTATTTTCGTGGCGCTAAAAATATGTATTATAGTAAGTGCCATTGATTGTAGCATATTTTTGAGAATGAGCAATGTTGCAATAATTGCTTTATTACAGTGGGCATGCAGAATAATATAGAAAACCACAATCCTATGAAGCCTGAAATCGGCGAAGATATCAAGGAAATGGTGCGCAAAAATTTTACACAAGAAATTGAATTCTATCAGTTTTGTCGGCAACGTCTACATAAACAATATTTTGCAATTAAATTGAAAGAACTTATGGCTGTTGATAAAGATTTACAGAGAATTCGCCGAACGCAGTTACAAAAGAAATAAATAAACGCCATTAGAAGTTGGAATATTTTTATTATGATTTGCACTATTTAGTAGATATGTATGTTTTTGAAATTTTTTTTTGACGAACAATTGTGTTTAATATGGATTATGCAAAATTAAAAAATACATTTTTGATCCAAAAATCGATTCTGACCACCGGTCGGGCATATTTCTGTGAATCGATTTACAAACTCCTTTTGGTATTTTAGCTGTTTCATCTTTAGAACCTTGTCAATAGCCCAATTCTGTATTGGTGACAAAAATCTTTTTACTGACAAATGTACACCTTTTCATAAATTTTTTCGTAAAAAAACTGTAACAAGAATTTTTCACTGCTGCAGAATCGAGCCGAAGGTCCAGGTAACTAAAAAATATTTAATGCTTTTAAAGTGAAAATAATGACTTTCTGGAAGCATTTGTTTGACAACCGCGAAGCAATATTCGATGGCGGTTCGCTAAACACTAATAACTTGAAGGCTTGGAAACTAAACCGGACGAACAATTTAGCTGAACTTGAACACAAAATGTTTCTCGCTTTGACTGAAGGGGAGGTGACTCAAGTGTCAACAGATACAAGTTGTAGTCTTGTGTGTACAGTATGTGCTGCTAAGCCGATTGAGATTAATGATTTATATAAAGTCTTATCAAAACCAGAAACTAGAGTAGCCTATGGGTACGGTTTGCCAGCATTGCATGCATGAATTACATAGTTGTATGGATATGATTTTACACCTCCGCCATATGCTTTATTTCAAAAAATTGAAAAAAAAAATTATTAATTATATAATAAAAAATTATAATTCTTTAGTCCTAGTTAAATTTGAAAAATTTAATCATGTTCAATACCTTTGTATTTCCCTTTATTTAATTAACCTTGCTGTATCCGCGCTAATTTCCAAAGCCTGAAATCAGAAACATTTTCTGTGACTTGCAATAAATTTGTCGTAGACCGACGGTCTTTTTAATATGTAATTCAGTAAAAAAATGAGTAATAAAATGGAAAATAATATCTAGACAAGTTTGAGAGTTAAACTAATGTCGATGTCTAAAATATCTTTAAAATGGACATCAATGTATCTTAAATTTAGCGATGTTAAGAATTATTAAATATCGGAGGAAAACATTGATATTATCGATGTTTCAAACAAATCGATGGATCGTTTGCATCCTTAAACAAAAGTAAAAAATGTAATCAGGCAGGTTCTGCAATTCACTTCCAAATGAAATTCACCCAAAGCCACTTTGAATTCAAATTGAATGGGGTTAAAATTCACTCGGAATGGAATTGCAGAACCTGCCTGCTATTTTTCAATCTCGGGATATGGGCATCTGAAAATTTTATTACCCTAATTCTATGTAAGTACTCGTACTTTTCAATGATATAATTTTTTCAAAAATTCCAGACTTGGCAAAATTTTCGTGCTACACTTTACGTGACCATACTCAGTTCAAGTTTGCTAAAACCTTGGCGTGCTTGTCACAATTCACCAATACTCGTGATGGTAATGGTATAATCGTTGCCTATACCATTATCATTGCTATTGCCATTACCATGGGAATCCATTAACTTACCATTATTATTATTTTTACCATTACCGTTATCATAACCATTACCGTTACCATCACCATTGCCAATGCTATTACTACTGTTACCATTACGTTTAACATTATTATTATTTTTATCATTATCATTACCACTACAATCGCCATTACCATTATCATTACCATTACCTTGTCGGTCCAGCACAGCTCTTTGTTTGCACAATTGTTTACGTGTACTGGGTTTGTGTGGTCACTGTTTATCAGCTCGCTGATCTGCTAAGCTTTCGACGCCGCTTTAAGCTCCCTGGGTGTGTCCATGGTCTGAATTCTCACATAANAATATTGTTTCACAGATTTTTGATTTGCGCGCCTCAGAGTTGAATAACACCGTAAAAGCCGAAGCAGATATACTTGTGTTCAATCGTGTACCAAAAACTGGTAGCATTCAAATGATTGAACTAATGAAACAATTGGGAAGTGTACATAACTATGAAGTTGTTGTCGATCCTCAAAATGCTGGCGTTCGTCCCATACTGAGCGAGAATGATGAAGAGGATTTGATTAAAAATATTACGCAATTAGAAGATCGTGCTGTCTTTGCTAGTCATGTAAATTATTTAGATTTTAAAAAATATGGCAAACCACGTCCAATTTATGTGAACTTGGTGCGCGATCCAATAGAACGTGTTATTAGTTGGCATTACTATATTCGATTGCCGTGGGTTTATGTGCCGCGACGTCGCTTAAAGCACATAGAAA